TATTTTAAATTTCGTAAAATTGTTTATATGCAGAAAACATCCACACCAATGTACAAAAAACATGAAAACCGACTGGAGAAAGCTAAAGAAAGGGTTGCTAGCTAACACTTTTTCAAGTTTGAAACCTGCAGTGACTTCACAACTGTTGTACTTTTTCTCCAGCCTGCCTCCACAGTGATTTACAATTTTCATTAATTTGGTAAAAAAACAAAAAAACCTAAGGTTCTGTCAGACCCAGAGTCTGATGAGATTGGACCGTCCTGACATTATTACCCAGCTGAAATTCCTCTCTTTTTTCAACATGGCATTAGTGTAGCTACAACCTCGGCTTCTCCCACGCTCCTGTTTTATAAACTAGACCAGAAAAAAAAATCTTTCTGGCGTAGGAAGGGATCGGTCCTGTGCACAGACGCCAGCAGGGGCCGAGCCCGTGGGGCCCCTGAGGAGGCCTAGCGAAGATCAGACAGAGGGGTTAGACGGTCTAAGCCTCCCCTTGTGTTGGAGATGTCCCATGGATAGTTGGTCAGACAATCAGTCCCGTGAGAACAGCCGCGCTGTACGGCTCCCTGGCACATGAGGACGCAAGTCCATCAAGTCAACCTTTATTAACCATCCCTGTCATTTTATTCACAGAGAGGCTGAACACTGTGAACCCAGAGAGAGACAGTGGAGGAAGAGGAGGAGGAGGAAGAGGTGTGAAACATCTGCCTGATCTCTGGCATATTGAAATATACAATATTTTAAAACATTAGAAATTAAATAAAATTTTTAAATTTAATAAAAGCAAAGCAGTCTTGTCTCATATAGTTAGATCACATTTTAAGGTATATATATATAAGATATATAACTGTCAATATAACAAATGTAAATTCCATGATATGAGCATGGGTCAAATTCAGCGTTATAAACAGTTTGATAAACAATATTTGTTTTTTCATCATATTTCTTTCATTTCACGAGTGTAAGTAAGTAAATGTATGTATGTGAATGTAAAGATTACACATTTTTACACATACTGCAGTATGTAGCAGTCTGCAGCAATTCATTGCAAATTTCACATGATGTGAATCAGTGTTCACGTGACATCCATCACAAACACACACACACACACACACACACACACTGATGTTTGTGGGTTGTTAGCACTTCACATAGTCCCGACCTTATTATAACTATTCGCTCGATCTTTCTCTCACATTATTCTGACTAAAATACTATTCCTGACTCGAACTAAATCTACAAAGCTAAAAATGATCTGAAAATGACAAGATGTCTCCATGGGTAATAGTATTTTTCAGATAAGTCCCCTCAAATATAGCTATGCCAGGTAGACACAAACACACAAACAAGTTCGAAAAATATTTGTAATGTCAGATGGAGGTTTGATGTCCATTATTTATTAACAGTCTACTGAAACTCTTTTTTTATCTTTGTTTGTTTAATGAGATTTCAGACATTTAATCCTTCAGATTTCTGTGGTTAGATTACTGTCACTGTGATTTTTGTAGTCATTATTTTATTTATTATTCAGAATACAGATTTACCTCCCGGTCTATTGATTTATATATTACTGTTACAGCTTTGGCTGATTATCTTTTTCATCCGTTTGTTTTATTCATTGTTTCCCCGATGTTTTAAAATTGAAATGTGGGGACATCCATGGAATAAATTAGTTTTATATATGTGATCACAGTGATGCGAAGTTAGGGCTGAGGTCAATTATAAGACATGCTAAAACACTTCAGCAGTAAGTACTACAAAGTACCCGACTGTGAGATTATATCTTATTCCTGTTTCTGTGTACGTCTTAGTATTTAATTTGTGTCTAATGACATACACTGCTTTCTGCTAAAAGTACGTTCCAGTACTACTGTATCTAATGCTGGCTTACGTATCATAACATTTTTTGCTGACCTCTAGTGGATGGACACGGCAATGCAGGAATCGATGCGACTAGAAAAGTCATGGAAGAAATTAACCACTAGGTGGGGATAAAAGACAGCTTCACACAGTAAAGTGCCAGGTCTGACGTGCTGCTTATTATAGTGACAAAGTGATGAGCCGAATGTAAAGGAGAGGTAATGGACTGTGTCATTAAGAACATTGGAATGTTAAATTAAGGAGCATCAGTGTTATTGATGTGCACTCAAGCACTGAACATTTGAAATATAAGACATATTATTCAATATACAGAGATAGGAGAGAATTTTGATTAACTATCAGAAGCAAATGTTAGCTACACAGATTATGTAAATAAATGTTAAATAACATGTAATAATAAACCAACCATTAGCATTGAGGATGTAATTATTCAAAACAAGTCGATGCTACACTCTGCAGGAAAACTATTACAATGCAAAAACAACAACACAAATGATTTATTGCCATTACCTTACTGTACTTTCATTAATGTACCTCTGGCTTTGTTGTGTCTTCTCTCCTTGTCTTACATCCGTAGGGCAACCAGGTCCTAGTGGATAAGACGTGGGACAATGGGGGACTCGTCACTACATCACAATCAAAAGTCAACAAATAAAAAAGAAAAGAAAGAAAGAAAGAAAGAAAGGCAGGTGCAGGAGAACATGTAGAAACGATACCTGGAATGTAACGTGTGACACAGAAAGTACCGGGCCATACGGATAGGGGGCAGTGATGTGCGGTGAACTTCATTGCTGACAGTGCTGAGCCACGTAGGCACAATGGGTAATGGCAGGATGACGCTGCGGTAATGGGTTTCATTTGGTTAAAACATTAAAATAAATAGAAACAGTGTTGGAATAATGTGTATAACATTCGTATAACACTGCCTCACCTGTCTCCACTGGCATCATGTCGCTGTTATAATCTCAATTTTATAGTAAATGTTTAAATCAAGGTCAAAATTGAAGGTCAAAATCCAGGCATGATCCTCACCACATGTCACTGAAGTAAATATGGGTCTTACCTGAACAGGGTTTGTCAGCTAAGAACTAGTGACACTGATGTATCTATGTTTAACACCTGTGGAGCAAAATAAATGAAAAATGATCCCCAGTTACCTAGGGCAGTGTGGCCCGACCTGTTTTGAACCATGGCACATATCGTCCATTGGAGAGGTCCACCGGTGCACCACCAAACCAACTGTCACAAATGAACTGATCTTCTACTTTCAGTTTACTCACACTTCACATAGTGTGAAAACCCAATCCTGTTTAGCTAAACATGTTGGTACGAGCCGATATCCTCGTGCCAACTGAAGAATTACAAACAAAAAGATCTTTAACAGCTACATGTCACTTTTTTTTCCTTAGTTCTTACAGCCCTCTGCTGCCACCTAGTGGAATATTTAATTGTTCTGCCAGTCATGGTCCCATAAACAAAGACATATTATATGCAGTAAATCATTTGTAGTTGTCAGACACTTTAATTAGGACTAGACCATTTCCCATGGTACACCTGATGATCTCTCAGGGCACACTGGTGTGCCACAGCACAGTGATTGGGGATCACCGACCTGACGTAACCTAAAAATCAGAATCGAGTAAATAAATTCAACAAGGTGTACAAAAAACAAACAAGCTTTAATTAAATACTCAAAATTTTAGAAAAAGCAAATACTATTTGTTCTCGTCGTTTTAGTTTCTATTGCATCCGAATGACATTTTCCATCACATTATCCACAGCATAAAGGCAATTATTTACACGAGTTATATTTTAATTTCATTCACATATGGCAACGCAAATAATAAAGTGCTTTCAAAGACCCCCCGACGAACGGCAACACATTACCTTTGAACCTCCTCAAGGCTGTGGAATTTGTCACAGACATGTTAAGTACAAATTTTACACACACTCTCTCTCTCTCTCACACACACACACACGCAATCAACCAATCGTGTGAACAGCCAGCAATGGTTTCACCCTGAAATTTACATACAGTGTATGTTTGTTTCTGTGCTTTTTAGTGAACAGACGTATTTTTAAAAAAATCCCATAATTATCAGTTAGCAATGGTTTAGTGGTCTGCAGCTTTAGTTACTGTTACTGATTTTCATACAGATACCCTAAAGACTAAAGACTAAAGAAAATAAAGAAGTAGAAGACATGAGATGGTAGATGGGATTTGGGATTATCTCGCAAAACATTTTCTCAGAATTTTTTTTTTCTAGGTTATGACTCCTTAACAAAGCCCCTAGTAGGGTGGAATGCAATTTGATTTTTTTTAAGAGGACATTTGTTTTGTGAAAAACAACTTGGCATAGGACTAGACCCAGACATGGTAAGGGCTATTTCTGTCCTGTCCTGCTCTCATTAACCTTCCATACTAAGAGTACAACTAGTTGTTATGAAAAACATTTAGACTGAGATCCAAAATTAGATGAAGCTTTAAAAGATTTGTACCAATGTACTCTTCACATGAATAAAATGCAATTAACGCACCACCACAGGGTGGAGGGGGGAGGTCAAGCAGGTCCGCACACTGCCATATGAGGCTCACACACAAGCAAACACAATACACGTCTCAAACCCTGTTTTGCCTCATTTCTGCCCAGCTAGTCTCTTGTCAGAGTTGTGCACGAGAATCACCCTGTGATTGAGTTTTGATTTTATCACACAGTCAAACCTATCAGTCGAAAACCTAAATAATCATGCTCTAGATATCTGCGATTTTGAATTGACCAGTATGTCCTTCAAGTTAACTTAACAGTGCTATACAGAGTAATAAATGTGTACAATTCACTTCATGCTAATTTGAAATCTTAAGATTATCCCTGGAATTTTCAGGTTTAACGCTTGAGCACAGGGTGACTTTTGAAGACTTGATGCCCCGTGGGCTTTGCACTTAAGTGTGTGTCTGGCTTTACACTACCCATGCATGCACATACACGCGCACTCACACACGCACACATCAGAAGCAGGCATGTCAGAATCACG